GGTGCGGCGGCACACAGCGGCCCCCAGCCGGTTCCAGCCGGCTCCGCAGCAGACCCGGCCAGGCACAGCTGCGCCCGCTCTGACAGCTTAGGGCAAAACGCCACACGCGGAGTGAGGCGTGAGTAAAAGTGCGAGGAGGAAGGAGCGGCAGAGAAGAACGGATAGGGACTGACTGCGACCCCCATTGCCGTCGCCCTGCACCGCTCGGGGAGGAGGTTGGGGACTCGGGAATGGAGGGGGTGGGGGGGAGGAGAGGGAAGGTGTTTTAGCTTCTGTCTTTGTTTCTCACCATCCAACCCTATTTTAATTGGCAATAAATTAAATGGATTTTCCTAAGTCGAGTCTGTTTTGCCCGTGATGCTAATTGGTAAGTGATCTCCCTGTCTTTATCTCGGCCCACGAGCTTTTTCTTCGCGTTTTCTCCCAGCGTCCTGCTGAGGAGGGGGAGTGAGACTGGGTGGGTGTCTGAGAGCCAGCCAAGGGAACCCACCATATGCATAAAGAAAATTCTCATTTTGTTATTTTCCATTAAGTTTCTGAAATACAAGGGAATACAGGCTTAAAAGAAAAAAAAAAAAACAAAACACCGACTTGTATTTTTCAGACCTACAGAATTTGTTCTTAGCATTGGTGGTGATGGATGGCCTGATTGTGCAGAACAGTTTCTCTATTAGTCTGATGTTTAAATCAATTTAGCTGAAATTGTTTCATGGATTCTAATCAAGAATGATGCAGAACTTCATGGACTACCTTTAAAAGAGTACTCAACAGCATGTTAACAGCGGATTTTAAGTAGGAGGGAAGGTTGAAATTAAGCTTTTATTTTCCTATTGGTTTCTGAATAGAATCCAGTCATATCTTAGAGAAGCAAAACAGCTTGAAAAGTAATGGTTTTAGAACTGAAAAATTCAACTCTGAATTCACAATGTCACTTCTTGTTGTAAATGCTGCTGCGGTTAGCACATTTTTCATTTAGCTGTGCCCCAATGTGTTAAGCTTTGTTTGTGATATGAGAGTGATCTAGACCCGCTGTGTGATTTCAGGTTTCTGCACTGAAGAACAGATTGAAGAAAGTCTCTACAACCACTGGAGATGGTGTTGCAAGAGCATTTCTAAAAGCGCAAGCATCTTTCTTTGGGAGCTACAGAAATGCCCTGAAAATTGAACCTGTAAGTAGGAAATTAGTCAGATGTAAATCTGAAGCTGTGGTGGGGAAAGAAGCTAACAAGAATTCAAAGAGTAGTATAACCTACTTTTAGTAAGGTCAGCATTGTGGCTCTTCGGCTGACTAGTACTGAAAACAGTGTTCCAGTCTGCAAAAAAGAAAGAGGTGCAACAACCATGATCAATCACACAGGGAGAAAGCTTCTTATGGGAAGGTATGCGTGTTGCTTGTTTTTGAAGACAGTTAAGGTAGAAGAGAGATCATAAAACTGTATAACTCAATGATCATAGGAGGCTAGTGCAAAGTTGACTATTTTCTCTTGCTGCAAAACCTGGGTATTCATTGTATCATTTTTAAAAGTAGTAAAAGATAACTTTTTACACAGTATATGCTTAATTGAAACGTGCACATTTATGGAATCGTGGCGTTTAAGAACATAATTAGTAAAGAAATTGTGCTTTTACAGAAATATGAATAATGGCTGGAGGTGTAACTATTGATGATACATGTTCTTTTAGGGAAATAAAATCTCTTGCTTCTGGTTCAGAGCTAATCTCTATTTAGCAACGATTAAGTGCCGTCTGAGTCGGGGAAGGATTCTTCTATACTTGATCTTGGGTTTTATTGCTTCTAGTGAGGCATCTGTTCCTAGCTTACTGCAAGTAGCTTCATGGACTTCAGTACAAATCAGTCCAGCCAAAATAACATATTTCCACATGTTTTATGACACTTTGGTTTTTCTACCGTGTAGTTAGGGGGTTCTTTCTAAAGTGTGTACTTTTTGCTGATAGAAAGTTAGAGACAAGGTAAGTAGTAAGAGGAACATTCCGGTATAATTCATGAGATACGTCCCAGAAATATGGGGGATGAAAAGTACTAACTGCAGAGTGATCCAAGGAATATTTCCAAAATATTCTATGTTCTCTATTTCTGATGCAGGGAAAACTAACACATGTGCAGGTCAAATGCAGTGATAAATCTCAATGCAGTGTTCACGGGTCATTTGAACTACTGTTGTTTAGACCTGTGGCTGCCTAACAAGAAGATCTCTGTAGAGGACAAAACATCCTTTTGTCTTAATACCTTCTTCTCTCATCTGCAAGCATTTGGAGACAGAATAGAAAATTGGTGTTAGCAATGGAGAGCTTGAATACCACTGGGAGATGCTAAGACGAACTCTGAGTGTAAGTGGGGAGGTTAAACGAGTGAGAATGAAGGCTTACTAGCAGAGAAAAGGTGTTGTATTTTGCTTTCTCCTGCTCTGTGAAGATTAATGAAGAGATGTGGCATGCAGGCAAGTAATCTAATTTTAGTCACGATGTTAAAGGAAAAGACCAGAAGTTGGACTAGAGGCATAGTGTTTCTTTGAGTTTGAGGATGTTTCAGTAACTAAAGTCTCTTCAGCAGTGTAGTTTGTCTTAGTTGTTATTTTTAAAGCCAGAGGGAAAAAATAGCTCAGTCTGAATTTTAAACAGTACAGTTATCACCATAAGATAAGCATCATTCTGACAATTCATTTTTGGGGTTCACAAAGGAATTTTGACATCAGTGTAAGTCTTTCCACATCTTAATGAGGAAATACATGTGTCGGGGGGGGCGGGGGGAAGTGTTGACTTGTGCATGTATGTCTGGGTCTAAGTATTGGGCTTTTAAAGCATTGAAGGTGAAATAATGGGAGGTATTTAAAATGTTGTCCATGTAAATAACAAAAATGAAACCAGCAAGGCACTCTGGCTGCCAGCCTCCTTTATCCATGTCGGGGAGACACTGAATTCCCTTCATCCGTGCAGGCTTCCTTGTTCACTGATGCTCCTCCCAGTAGTTGCCAGGCAACTCTGGGAATATTGGTGTATGCTTTGCCTGGATGTGTGTGAGAGATTAACTAGTTAAGGGGTTTATGAAGAAAAATACAAATTTAAGTTGCTTTTCTGGAAATACCATCTGGTATTCTGAAGGCTGAATGTTAAAAGATGAACATTTGAAGTCGGTTGACACCCCTAGAAAGTGCAACTTTGAGGGATAGCTAACCTGAGGAAGTAGAAGAAATTGTTTGGTTTGCTTATCATTCCATCAAAGAAAATTCCTAAACATAATTGCACAAATATGTCATAAAACCCAATTTTAATAGTCAGGAAGTGGAAGTTTTCAGGCCTTTCTTTCCCAAGTCCTTTTATAAATTAGAACTTAAATTTCTGACTATACATTTCAGTATTAAGATTTAGATAGAGAAGATCTGCAAGCATGCAAGTGTTTCATGTGCTGAACTTGTCAGAGTCAAACAACCTGCATTCTGTTTCTGGTTTTACCACAGACATCCTGTGAGGTATTGGACAGGTCATACAACTACTTTATACTTCACTCCTGTTTTAGAATATGCCAACAGTAAATGCAATTACTGAGACTTTTGTTACTGTGAGGAACATCATGCTTAAAAATAAGTTCAAAACCCTTGGAAAAACTGATCTTAAGAAGATGCAGCAAAACTCCACACAGTAGTGTGTAATGAGTGAAACAATTGTGAACTTAGCAAGTACCTTTCCTAAAAGAAAATGGGATTGTAACATAAAAATGAAGTGTCGTAACTGGCAATTAGTAAGGCATCTTGCAGTTTAAAGCCCTGTGTTTCTCTGTTGTGCTGTACTTCGAATGCTGCATTTGAAATAGTCTTCTGTGCTCTCACATAATTTCATCTTCTACACAGCAGTTATGTTCACTGTTATTTCCTGTCAGCTGATTAGCTCAGTTTGCTGAGTTTGTGGATTATGTACTAACAGGTGTTCAAAGTGCTCCTGATACACATCTTCTCATATAAACACAGAACGATGGGAGTTTCTTGTTGAATACTGGAAGAATGTTAAAGTACATGCAGCAGGTCTTTGATTGCTCTCTATTGAGCTATCAGAATCTACAAAAACCACAGTGGCTGCTTTATTTTGCTTTAAAATTTTAATGTCCATTTGGAAGAAACTATTTTGAAACTGTTACTGGTGTAACAGTTGCAAATAAAATTATTTCAGTGTGTCCAAGACAAATAGAAAAGAAAATGGAATAAATAGCTTCTAGGGGGGAAAAAACCCCATATTTTGAAATGCCTCCATTGTGGTTGTTTTTTTCTTATCACCTTCACATGTCATAAATATGGGGCATAAGCAATATCAAACATGATGTGGTTCTTTGCATTTGATGTCCCATAACTTAAGAAATCTGACTGTTCATTTAAAATAATTGGTAGTTAGGAAATAAATTCAAAGAAATAGCAGCTTTTCCTCCTTTCATAGTTTTTTGTATCATAAGAATTTAATTTCATAGACCATCTCATCTGGTATGAGTTGCCTTTTTGTGATAAATGGTGTGAAGCTATGTTTCATTATTCTGTGTAGGCCCAGAATGTGTCACAGAGCAGACTTTCAATTCACATTATTCTGAAGCATAGTAAGAGCTCTTATTCTGTTCAGAAGCTTTTACTCTAAAAATACAAGGTTATGTAATGTATATATGAACCAGTACTCTGACAATTAATGAGTTACTGTTGCTGTAAACTTTAAGGCCTTCAGTAACTAGAGCTTGTGATGAAAAAACTTACCCAGATAATACGGTCCACAAGTCTAATTACAGGATTTATGTAACAAAATATCTGATTCAGTTATGTTTCCTACTGTGTATATGTGTTTTCTGTAGTTGTGTTAAGCCAGATTTTAAGTATGGAAGAGTATCTACTACATGTGATGTGCTTAGAGTCTTTGCAAAACTCTGTTGCTATCAAGTACAGTAAAAGACATTAGGAGCAGTGTGTTTAGTTATGTATTGGTGCAGATTATCTTTATGAATATTACTTACACTTCTGACAGTAGACCAATGTGAGCATTGTGTTCACCAGAATGACTTTTAAAATTCCTGAGTTTTTGCTGTTTGCAGATGGAATGTTTTTATCACCTTCTAAATATTCACAAAAGTAGATAGTTTTCAACAGAAATAGCTGTATAATTACTATGCGTGTGTAAAGGTGGCTCGTAGTACTTAATAGTTGTGTGTGTATTGGTAACTGAGGGAGAAAATGAGACTCAAATTTTCTGCCAAAGACGTTGTCTGTGCACTTTCTTCTGCTGACACCTAGTGGTCAGAGACAACATTTAATTGGTTTAGACAATCTTTTTTAAGAAACAAACATCCTAACACCTGTGAATAAAGGTAAACTCACAGTGTAGCTTGACCGAAAGCGGTAGCATGTAGGGTGTGATACAATAGGATGTATTTGGTTTACGTTTGTGATGCTAGTACTGCTAGCCTAAGCCATATGGGTGCTCTGTCACTTATCTTGGGTATGGTAGGTTAACAGCAGGCTCCAAGTTTGATGTAGTCTTCTCAAATGACACGCTTTCTGTCTGTTCCTTGGCTATGTGGTCACTCCAGTGAGCTTTGCAAAGGGAACTGCATATGCTTAATACAACATTTTCTAGCTTGACAGATTTGAAAAGCTTGTTTACTTGCACTTTGCTTTAAAATCGGTATATTCTGAACAGATATTTCTATTTCCATGTCTCGATTCCTTCTGTCTGTATTTTGTTGCTATAAATACATTATAAGGTGAAAATTTCTGTGCTTATTTTTCTTCTCAGTGGTGCTAGTTTTTGTATGGATAACTAAGGGGGGGTGATTTTAACATTCATAACCCAAATAGATATCAGTACCTAAGTGCTCCTGCAGGTAGTTTTCTGTTTAACTTTGCTGTTTTGCATTGATAACTTCTTGTATGCAGGCGCTGTAAAATTTGGTGGCTCTTACACAACACAGTACGCATGGCATACTGAGGTGAGAGGTATGTGTAATGCAGCGTGAGCTAAAGTAGCCCATTTTATTTCTAATACACCACTGAAGAGACATGCCTGTGCATGAGATTCTGGTGTGTGTTTGGATTTGAATCAAGATGTCCTGGTTTGTTTTTAAAAGGCGGATTTAGTTGTTATGAATTTATTAATCTAGTCATTAGGATGATGAACTCCGCAT